TATATAGGAGAGGTCTATTTACTCTAAAATTAAGTTTATTTAAACTTACTCCGTTCAATAACTCATGCTTTATATCAAATTTTAATAATCCAACCGTTGAATTTAAAGTTCTTAATACACAAATCAAATCTGTAAATTTTTTTAAAAAAATTAAAAATTATTTGATATTTTATTTCATTAATTCAAATTGACGGATAATCATAAAAATGATTATCCGTCAATTTGAATTAATGAAATAAAATATTAAATAAATTTTTTATTTCTTATATATTTCAATTTTTATTTATTATACATGTTTTTAAATTAAATTCAAAATTTTAAAATAAATTATCAGAAATTGAAAAAAATTGTATTACAATAGAGATTATTTTTGTATAGATATAAAATATACTATATATATATAAATTTTAAATTAATATAATTTAAATATTAAGATATATAATATTCATTTACATATATAATTTATTCTGAAATTTATTTATATATATGATAAATATTTAATCGATTAGGATAAAATAGTATGAGTTAATCTTTCATACACTGCGAGTGTAAAGTTTTTTACATTAACAACCAATCATATTTTTTAAATTATCTTTTTTTATTTTATTTTATTAAATAAACAAATGACATGATATTATTAAAAAATATAATTGATTGCCAATATAAAAAAATTTTACACTAATATTATATAGGTGATTAACTCAAATAATATATACAAGTTAATTTATAAAGTCACTAAACAATCGTAAAACTAGAAATATAGATTCAGTTGGGTCTCGGATCGGGTCTATTAATCGGGTGATTGGGAATGCATATAAGACACCATCGACATTTCATTTTCAATCATTCACCAATCTTCACTCGCCAAACCAAAGCTATTCACATTTGGAAGCGACTAAAAGCATTGGTATGGCAACCTCGCTGTGTACACCCACCTACGCTCTCAAACTGAAATTGTTCCGTACCGATTCCCATAAATTAAACGCAAAGCCCTCTGTTCAATATAGGCGTCGTTTTGGCTCCACCACCACAATCTATTGCACCTCTAATAATTACAACGACAACAACCAACCGCGACCCCAATCTGAAGCTATTCAAGTTTACACGCAAATTGAGAGGTTCTTTCTCTTTTCTCTAAAAATTAACTTTTTTCTGGTTTCATATGCTTTGTCTATGCCACCTTAATTCTTTTTAGGGTACCAATACTCCGAATGATGACATTTAATCTAAATTTTGTATTACTCTGATGGCTCCACATGAGTATTAGTATACTAAAGATTTTTTGAGAAAGAGAAATAACCATTTGAGAATTGTACACTTACGGAGGTTGATAGCATTAATTTTGTGATTTGGAGTCATGAAATTATTCGAATGTTTAATAGTGGTTAATTTACGTTATAATTAGCCAATGTTACTGAAATGTCTATGATGGAAACCCTGAAAGGGTAAGTATTATTATTTCAAATAGAAAACACTCTTTCCCTCTCGCAAATTATAT